TTTTACAATATTGCCTTGTTCAATATTCTATTTTACAATTGTTTTCTATCTCCAATCCCTTTCATTTTTCCTCTCTTTCATTCCCCCCTTCATTGGGCCTCATCTTTCTTCCTCACTTTCTCATGAAAATTATTGTCTTTTATCTTATCGTAATTCTATTTCTCGCGATCTTTTCTTATGATTATTTTTTCCATTTCTCTTTCTCCCCTTCATTTTTTTTCGTTCTGGATATTTCTCTTTCTCTACACCCATTATTTTGGTTTTCTTATTTCCAAGATTTGTAAATTTTATTTATTTCTATTTTCTCTATTTTTATTTATTATTTTTTTTTTATTTCCTTCTTTATTATTTATTTATTATTATTATTATTATTTTGTTACCTCTTCTTTTTCTTTTTTTATCCTCTTCGTGATTTTATATATCATAGCGAGGTTGCTTTTTTTTTGGTTCGCTCTTATTCTCTCTCCGTCTCCTCTTTTCCCAATGTCATCAGAAAAGTTATATTTTCTTCTTTCTTTCTTGGATTTCCTTTGCTATTGACGCCAGAAAGGGGTTTTCTTCCTTTTGTTGTTGTTGCTGTTTTTCTTTCCCAGTGACGTCAGAAAAGGTATATTTCGTCTACCCTTTCCCCTTTTTTCCTTTCCTGTTTCATATATATATAGTATATATATATATATATATATATATATATATATATTATATATATATATATATATATATATATATATATATTATATATATTTATATATATATATATATATATATATATATATTATATATATATATATATATGTATTGTGTGTGTGTTTGTGTGTGTGTGTGTGTTGTGTGTGTGTGTGTGTGTGTTTGTGTGTTGTGTGTGTGTGTGTGGTGTGTGGTGTGTGTGTGTGTGTGTGTGTGTGTGTGTGTGTATGTGTGTATGTGTGTGTGTGTGTGTGTGTGCGTGTGTGCGTGTACGTGTGTGTGTGCGTGCGTGCGTGTGTATGTTGTGTGTGTGTGTGTGTGTGTGTGTGTGTGTGTGTTGTGTGTGTATGTATGTATGTATATATAGGTATATACTTCCATTGGTATCAGAAAAGGACCATTTCTTCCCTTATTTTAACTTTTTATTCGCATCAGAAAATGACACCTTCATCCTTTTCCAGTTCTGATAACTTTTCATTGGCGCCTGAAACGACAAATTTCCTCTTCCTTCTTCTCCCTTTTTTTTTTTTTCCTTTTTCCTTGTCATTGGCATCACAAACGATCAATTTCCCCCTTTTATTGGCATCAGATAAGGTCCATATCTTCCTCCTCTCCGGGTTTTCCTCTCCAGTGGCATAAAAAAAAGAAAGAAAGAAAGAAAAAAAGAAAATAAAACTCATGACAAGGATCTCCTCGTCCTTAAACCTTATCTTGAGGCTTGAGACGTTGTTATTGGATATTGCATTTTCCTCAGGTACATTTCCTGTTGTTCTTTGCCTCCTTCGCCGTGCCTTCTAGGGCCTCTTCGCTTCTGTTAAGGGAATTATACATGCTGAGGCTATTGCGTTGAGGTTCGGATATTCTCTCTCTCTCTCTTGATTCTTTTATTTTTGTTTTTTGCTTTTTTGTTTTTATTTAGCTTTGTTGTTGTTGTTCGTTTTTTCCTCTCTTTCTCTCTATATATGTCCCTCTCTCTCTCTCTCTCTCACTCTCATTCACATTTTCACTCCCATTTTCATTCTCACTCTCAATTTTACTCTCTCTTTCGCTCTCATTCTCTCTCTCTCTCTGTCTGTCTGTCTCTCTTTCTCACTCACTTTCTCTCTCTCTGTCTCCCTCTCACTCTCTCTCTTCTTCTTTCTCACTCTCCCTCCCCCTCTCTTTCTCTCTCTCTCTCTCTCCATTTTTCTCACTCTCCTCCTCTCTCTTTCTCTCTCTCTCTCTCTCTCTCTCTCTCCCTCCCTCCTCTCCCTCCTCCCTCCCTCCTCCCTCCTCCCCTCCCTCCCCTCCCTCTCCTCTCTCTCTCTTTCTCTCTCTCTCTCTCTCCCTCTCTCTGTGTCACCGACCCCCCCAGTGTTCATATCGGACCCGAGTCTCTGTCCTTGTACATCTCTACAGCTCCTCGTTTCAATATCCGAGCCTCGAGTTGTGTCTACATGCCCCCGCCCCCTTCACAGCTCTCCTCAACTACCCCCACTTTGCTCATCCTTTTCCCTCCTCTGTGCCTACTCCTTTCCTCGTCTGGATCTGATCCCTTGTCCAGTGATCTTTCTCCTTCTCCAGTTGTCTTTCTTTTTCCTATTTCTCCTTTCCTTTTTTGTTCTCCTCTTTCCCTTTTCCCTTTTCTCTTCTCTCTTCCATTCACGTCTTTTGACAACTTTCTTTTCCTCTCTCTACCCCTTGCCTCCTCCGTTCTATGTCTCCTCCTCTCCACTACCCACTCTCTACCTTCTTGCTTCTTTTCTCCTCGTTTCTCTTCTCTCTTTTTCCCCTTTTATCCCCTATCTCTCACTAAATTCCCCTTTCCCTCTCTTTA